CGCGGGCGGCAGGCGAGTCCTGCAGCCCCACCGCTGCCCGTCAGCTGTACGGAACGCGGCTCTTGCGCTAGATTCGAGGCGCATGGGGTCTGTTCTCTCCCCGCTGTGGGGGAGGGAAGTCTAGAGGGAGCCAAACCAGCCAACTGTTTTCCAAATAATTGTGTGCTCGGTTTTGATTTAGGAGGCAAGACTTAGTCTTCCTGTTTACAGCAATTTCCTGGGTTTTGCCCAATTAGCCATAGAGACAGGTTTATCGCTGCTGATCTAACAATAATATACTTTGCATTCAGAGCTTTTTAGCTCAAAGCACTTTATAAACATTCGTTTAAGCCTCACAAACCCTCTTGTGTTGGTAGGTATTATGAAATGTGTTTTCCATCTGGGTAAGCTAAGGGGCAGAGATCGCAACTTGCATAACGTCAGCTGAAACGCGGGGAGGAAAAGAACCCGGGACAGGCTGCCCCGTGGCTGCTACATCAGAGCACGCGAACCTTTGAAGGCTCAGCTTGCGTGAACCTGTCGCGGGCTGCGTGGTGTGAGGTAGCCCTTCCCTCTCGTTTCTGGCTCTGGGAAGAAAGCAGGACGTTTGTTCTGCAAGGGAGCCTCCCGTCCCGTTTCACCTGCCTGATCCTGCCACCCGCAGAGGAAGCCTGTGCAGGGTGCTGTCACAGGCAGCTCTTGGCTGTGCTCTCTCTGTTCAGGTGTGTCTGCTCCCACCTAAACTCTGGGCTCTCCCTCCCTAGCTGTGGACACCCACGTGCACAGGATCACAAACAGGCTGAAGTGGGTGAAGAAGGAGACCAGATACCCCGAGGAAACTCGGGTAGCGCTGGAGGACTGGCTGCCCAGGTGAGACCCCAGCCTCCTTCCTCCACACCAGGCCCCTCGAGCTGTGTCTGTACGCAGCCCTGCTCACAGCAGTTTCAGGGACTGTATTTTGGGTCCCTCCTCTTTATGGGGAACCAGTTGGCAGATGTTACTCCTATCCCAGAGAGTTGCAGCAGCATCTCAGCTACTTGGCTGATTTCTGGCTATCAGATATATTGATCACCACTAGTGCAGCCACGTATCCGGAGGTTTTGATGCCCCGTAAGTTGACCGTGACCAAAGCCACAGGTGCTTTCCTGCACAGTACCTTGCTGAGCCAAACAGCCACAATGCTATCAGACCAGGGTTGGATTCTGACCTTCACTGATGCTCAGTCTTGGGTATCGAATGCCAGCTGACGGGTTCTCTGTTGCATCTCCACATCTGGCACGTGCCTTAACACCAGAGAATGACCACAGGCCCTTCGTGCATCTCCTCTGCCCCCCCCACCCCAGTTCAGAGGGAGTAGGAAAGGTTAGGGCTGTTCCCAGCAGGAGGTTGGGAGCTGCCTCCAGGCGCCTTGGGAAGCCAAGAGGAACAGGCAGTGGGTGAAAGGGATCCCTTGAAAAGCACAGGCTGTTCTTTCACCCTTCCAAGCAGCTGTATCGGAAAGCTCATGTTTTTCCTCTCACTGCAGGGATCTCTGGAGGGAGATAAACTGGCTTTTGGTGGGCTTTGGCCAGCAGACCTGTCTGCCTGTCAACCCTCGCTGCAGCGAGTGCCTCAATCACGACATTTGCCCAGCTGCGAAGAGACGCTGAGGGATCTTCCGGTCTTCGTAGAGCAACAGAGCTGCTCCGGCTCAGCAGCAGCCCGGAGCTGAGCCCTCGGAAAGCTGTGCTTTGCACGGGGCTGGCTGTGTGACTGCAGGGAAACGGGGGACTGCTGCAGCCAGCTCAGCATCTCAGCGCGAGCAGCTGCTGGCAACGGCTGAGCTCTTGAGAGGAAAAAGGGTCTTTCAGAGCGCGGCAGCCCTGCTGCGTCAGTGCTGAAGGCTCCAGCCCCGCGTGAATGCCCTGAGCAGGCTGTGCCGCGTTAGGAGTAACTGCAGAGAAATGCTTTGTCCTGCAGGACCTGCTGCTGCTTGTAAATACACGTTTAATAAAGGTGGTGATGTGGGTTTTTTTCCACCTGTGAGTTCTGCTGGCATTTGTGCAACACAGGGCAGGGGGAGGAGAGCACGGGAGCCCACAGCAACCCATCCTGCCAGCTGAGATCAGGCAGCGCGCACCCTGCCTGGACAAGTGACCTTAGGGTGCTGGCAGCAGGGGAGAGCAGGAGACAAACCAGCCTCCCGCTTGGCTCTGCATGCCAGCAGGGGTTACGGTGGCCACGGGAGCCAGGCTCGTGTGCCTCAGGAGCTGACAGCAGGGACGCCGCCACCGTCTGTGTGCTGTGCTTCAAAGAAAGGGCATTGTAGAGCTTCAAAGGAGTAATTTCAGCTCCTCTTTAAAAAGGCAAGGGAGGAAGCAAAGTTTATAATGTGCTAAAGGAGGCTGTAATTCCACTCTGAAGTTCCCTACCGACCATGAGGAACGAGCAAAGAAGCACTTGGTGCATGGGAAAACGAAGTTTATTACTGACATTACAGTGTACGTTACGTTTTTTACAATGCAGCTGACAGCCTTAGACTCTACTGATTTTCTTTTTTCTCCAAGTTAAATGTACAGGAACTGAATAATTACTACTGAGCTACAAGATGTCAGAAACGCGCGGAGCGCTTTACCCAGGAGCAGCTTCCGTGGACTAAACTGAGATTAAGATTTTTAAATCTTCCCAGTACAGATTTGCACACCCCGCTTTCTTGCAATCTGCATTCAAAAACCTACATGGTTTTTTCTCCCTCCTCTACCAGGGTGCTCCAGCCTTGTGGGAGTGCGGTGTGTACAGGCAGGTCCTTGGGCTCCGGCATGCAGCGGGGAGCGCGGCGTTAAGGTCAGCGTGACAGGGAACGCTCTGCCCTGCGCAGACCGGGGCGCTGCCTGGCGTTTGGCTGCGCAGGCACGGGAAGCAACGTGCGTGCCATGAAAAACAGGCTCCTTCCAAAAAATGACTGATTTATAGAAGCAAATATTTGGGAAGGGGAAAAAAGAGCAGGGAATTGTCTTTGAAGTGGGGTAGGGAAGTAATTGCAGAGTCCTGGAGGGGAGGCAAACCTCTCCGCACCCTGAGCCGCCATCCCGCTGCGGCACTGACAGCCAAACACCCGCACCAGTTCCTCTCCAAAGTCATTGTGTGCAACCTGTTCAGCCCATCAACATTCCTGAAAGATAACTTTGCTAAAAGAGAACTCATCTCCTTCACCCCTGAGGCTTTCCGCGCTCCCCTGCCAGCCGGCTAACAGCCGTGGGCATCAGCTGCTCCCCATGCTGAAGCCACGCGTCCCGGCTCCGCCGCTGTGGTCCCTCTGCCCTGAGCCCAGCCCACTGCCAAGGAGAGCGGTACATGTTATAAGGCACCTTTTAGCTCAATATTTTGGGAATACACTGCCAATCCGATATCCGTAGCGCACTAACCCAACGGCTTTACCACGGCAGCGTCGCAGCCGTGTTTTAAAATAGTCATCGACATCCCAGTGATGGCTGCCACGTGCTTTTCGCTGGGGAAAGTGGGTTTGTACCCAACTCTCCTGCTCTGCCCAAGCCCGTTCCCGCTGCTGCCTTGGTATTTGGGCTGAAATACTGGGCAGCCACCGTGGCCGGGCTTTGGGAGCTGCTGGAGCATCGGAGGGAGGGGGCCAGCCCTGTCGCAGCTGGGACCCTCCCCTGGTAAAACAGCTCTGCAACCTCAGTGTGTTGTAGTTCAGCTTTGCCACCTTCCCTCGTTTACAGCCAAAGGCAAGCATGAAAGAGCTTAAATTGACTTCATTTGTAATGCTTCAGAGATACACTTCTGAGGCTCTAATAGAAAATTTGAGGCCATAAAAAGCCAAAGCAACTGCCCCACCCCATCACACTCCTGTCTGCTTTGTAGCCAGCCCCTCGGAGACCCCTCGGCTTCGGAGAACACTCTCCCGATGGCAAGACAGACTCGCTTGTGCTTATGGGCTGGAGGCATCAAATCCAGCCCAGAAGTAACAAACCAGGGGGAACCGGACCCCTGCTCCCACACCCAGGCACAGCCACAGCTCACCCCGCTTCCCCAGCGCCGAGCCCGCAGCTAGAGCCGGATCCCCGCGTTCCTGGCACTGACGCTGGGCTGTGCTCGCTTTCCAGCCTGTCCAGAGGGGTTTTGTGGCATCTTGTGGCTCGTCTTCTCCCGAGGCCACCGGAGCTGGGGCGGCAGCTCTGCTCCTTGCATCGTGGGGTAGGACTGGCCCCCG